AGTGTCACCTTCCATCCAAATTAGAGTAGTCAGCATTCCCTTCCATCCAAACTAGAGCAGCCAGCATTCCCTTCCATCCAAACTAGAGCAGCCAGCATTCCCTTTCATCCAAACTAGAGCAGCCAGCATCTCCTTCCATCCAAGCTAGAGCAGCCAGCATTTCCTTCCATCCAAACTAGAGCAGCCAGCACCTCCTTCCATCCAAACTAGAGCAGCCAGCATCCCCTTCCGTCCAAACTAGAGCAGTCAGTGTCACCTTCAATCCAAACTAGAGCAGTCAGTGTCACCTTCTATCCAAGCTAGTGCAGTCAGTGTCACCTTTCATCCAAACTAGAGCAGCCAATGTCACCTTTCAGCTATTTTTTACAGTGCGGTCCAATACAGTGGTAGATGAATTCATCTTTCTATTTTTGTAATTTGGTTTGAAATGATTACCCTTTTTGTTTGATATGTTTATGAATGTAAATCACATGGTTGTGGTTTCAGTTGCCTTGCTTTTCTGGACCACACTGTATTTATTTCCATATCAGATAATATTTAGCATTCACTCAGTTTATAATAAATGTTCAAAACATGGTAATACCAAAAAACATCTTTAATAAGGACGTTTCGGACGTTACCATGTTTTTAATATCTATTATAAAACTTTGTTTTCCACCTTATGATTCAGTTGCAATCACTCAGGTTAGTATAATGATTTGTAATATACCTTACCATCATGCTTCTATCTTGTTTACAAAAATGGCCCTCAAATACTTTCAGAATTCAAAAACAACTCACACAGAATATAACAGAAAACAAACTTCCATGTCAAAGAAGACCTTCCTAATCTGATAATTTAAAACATTACTGTATTTACAAAACAAAAATGTGTTCAACTGGTTAAAGACAAATAAAATAATACGAAAACTGATCTAAATATTAAAAAATTAAGAATACCATGGTATTAAAATTGTAATACAAAGACAAGTGACTAGTATCACATCACTTTCTGACATAGACTGGCATAACATTTGGAAGTTGAAAAATTTGTATTGTAACATTAGTTAAAACAAAATAAAATATTAACACAATTTTACAACTTTAAAGTTTTGTTTTCTATTTATACCAAAACATTATTTTGACCCATTTTCCTTCAGTGAACATAAAATTAAAAAATAACATCTGTTCTACTTAAAAATATACCAAACTACAGTTTGCATAAAAGAAACAAAAAAATGTTTTGTCTTAACTTACAGATTAACTCATTTCACCAAGACATAATTTGTTACCATCTTTAGCAATAAGCTTGCAGTAGAGGAAGCTTCTTATGTGTTATTTACTGAAAGTTACCCTATAACAATTGCAAAAGCTTGTTAAAATTGTATTTTTAAATTACAAATATATAGATTAAGTTATTTAGTCTAACTTTACAAGTGTACGCCTTTTCATTTAAAACAAATAAAACATTAAAAGAAAACTTTACCTAAAATGTTTTAAACAACCAGCATGAGTCAAATGGTTTTTCTAATAGCTGCATTGCTATCTTAATTAAAACCACAAATACAGGCCTCTGTGATATACATACACTTGACCCAAGATCTACACAGATACGACCTATTATAAAGTGGTTTCCTATCCTCAACTTGTGACAAAACCCTCACTAAATATAATGTATGACTAATTTGGTTTCACATAATTGACTCACTGTAACTAGACCTTAAATGTGGTGTATCATCACTTTGTTTTCATTTAGTGAAGGGTCTAGTTACTGTAAGTCAACTGTTTGTGGTGTATCATTGTTTTGTTTTCATACAGTTGACTTACAGTAACTAGATCTTCACTAAATGTGGTGTATCATTGTTTTGTTTTCATACAGTTGAATTACTGTAACTAGACCCCCACTAAATGTGGTGTATCATTGTTTTGTTTTCATACAGTTGACTTACAGTAACTAGACCCTCACTAAACACAGTGTATCATCACTTTGTTTTCATACAGTTGACTTACAGTAACTAGATCCTTGTGTTATTTTAGTACTATGATTACACATGCATAGTTCATCTATTCTAATTAACATACCAATTACTTTCTTATAGCAACTAGTATGTCTTAGAAAGAAATAGATTAGTTAATGGTTTAGCAGAGGTTATAAGATGTAACTTATATATATAACATACATATATAAATGTGTGTGTGTATAAAAACTTTAAGATAACTTTAATATTACTATGTTTGACTGCAACAGAAACACTGCTGCCATATTGAAACATTATTTTAAACAATCAGTTTTCTCAAGCACTCCATGCTTTTAAAGTGTTTTATTTTTGTTTGTTCTTGATGAAATATTTCGGTTATACCCTATGGTTCTTAAAAGGCTACATTTATTCACATTTACTTTATGGTATTCTTTTACAGCAAGTACAGAGTAGTAACATGTAGCTGCTATCTCAGAGGTTAGAATTAATCATGTGCCACATTAATGACATTATAGGACAAATAAACTGTAGCAGCTTGCCAATATCTGTCAACACATTTTTATAGAATGTAAGAAAAAAGTCACAGAAACAAAAATCATAGAAAAAAAGTCACAGTTTGAAAATTTATGTTTATAATTTTGTAAGTTCATAGAAGTTGAATTATCCCACTCATTCATGTGACGATTAACTTCATATATGCCTGAAAAGTGCACTTGACTCTGCATTATATATATAAATACACTTGTCAAATTAACAGACTGTTTGTATCATTGAACATACATGTAATGCCATGATGTTATGCAAGTTGTGTTATGTACTTGTCACATAACATTAAATATCATGCATCATGCTATTATTGCAATAAATAACTAACTTTATTATTTTTATTGTATTACTTTACATTGTGTTTGGGTATTAAAAATATGACTTTTTTCCTGTGACTTTATTTCCAGCCACTTTTTTTGTAAATAGCCATCCTTGTATAAGTTTCTTAATAGCAATAAAACAAAAAAAACATAATATAATTGAAGGCAGAGCCTCTAAAAAGTAATCTTTTATGAACACAATGTAATATAGATAATCAAGTAAGAATACAAATCTATAATTATATAAAAACTTAAGTACTGAAAACACAGTTTTGAATATCAATATGTTTGACTGCAACAGAAACTAATTCTATAAGTAATGTTTTTTTAATGACTACAAATCTATAATAATATAAAACTTAAGTACTGAAAACGGTTTTGAATATCAATATGTCTGACTGCAACAGAAACTAATTCTGTAGGTAATGTTTTTTTAATGACTACAAATCTATAATTATATAAAAACTTAAGTACTGAAAACACAGTTTTGAATATCAATATGTTTGACTACAACAGAAACTGATTCTATGGGTAATGTTTTTTTAATGACTACAAATCTGTAAGTATTGAAAACATAGTTGTTTTACATGATAAAGTGACATTGTCTGAGAAGGAAAAGTGAATGCAAGATGTTAGTAACCTAGGTTAAATTTTTCTTTCTATAATTTGTCTAACCATAAAGTATGAAATTACTTAAACCATGTAAATAAAGTTGTTCTATAAGATATGAACCTATATGCTAACCATGAAAGAACTTCCAAAGCTCAGGGCATCAATATATCTTTTTTCCAAAGACACGTGTAAAAGACCATAAAATATAATTAACATACTCAAATTTAAGATATGGTTGTTGACTTGTTCAAAGAAAATTAATGTTGAAAATCAAATGGAAAGGCTCACACATCCACAAAGCCATACCATGTGTTGGTTTACAAGAAACAACCATTGCCACTGACCACCTATGGAGTGGGGACAGAAATACTGTATTATTATAGCAACATGCACTTCTCTGCTGATGTCATTACACAGAAATACTGTATTATTATAACAACATGCACTTCTCTGCTGATGTCATTACACAGAAATACTGTATTATTATAGCAACATGCACTTCTCTGCTGATGTCATTACACAGAAATACTGTATTATTATAACAACATGCACTTCTCTGCTGATGTCATTACACAGAAATACTGTATTATTATAACAACATGCACTTCTCTGCTGATGTCATTACACAGAAATACGTTTCAACTCTAACACCTTCTTTATCAGCTTCACATATAAAACTGTCATAACTTCAGTAATAAGCTAGAGTCAAAATGTGCAGCATATTAATGTGCAAAAAATTTCTCGTGATATACAATAAACTGTGTGTAATGAGAACACAATGTTAGACTAAAGCTTGCTCCTTACAAAATTCTCTGTAATAATCCATTCACAAGGTTCATTGACTGATCATCAACTAAGACAATATCATAACCATCGAGGTACTTGGGAAGACTCTCTTCAACCTAGAAGACAGATTTTAAGAAATATAATAACAACAATGTCTCAAATATGGACTAGTACACATAAACTTGAAAGTAATATTGAGTATCACCATATTTGACTACAACAGTAACTATTATTATAGGTAATGTTTTTTTCGTGACTAGTTTTCACCTCTATTTCAGGAATATTGTGAGAGAAAGGATATGTTTTTTGGATATTACCATCAGACTTATCATTCTGGAACTATTCCCTTTTTTTTGTAGTATTCCGTAACTGATATAATTTGTGTGTGCTATTGTGCACAATTTGTGTGTGCTGTTATGCACAATTTCAAATTCAGTTTACTATTCTTCAGTGGTTTATACAGCTAAATGTTTTGACCACTAACAATTGATGATAATTTATTTTGTAGTTTTGTAGTTGTAGAATTATTTATATATATATATATAAATAAATAAATCATTATGGAAATGTAACACACCAATAAGTTTTCTTACAGACACTGACAAATATCACAAAATACCAGTTTAAAAGAAGTATGTAAACAGCTGATGAATAAATTAGAGCTGTAATGATTGTAAGTGTAATCAGTTATGAAATAACAATAATTACAATGATAATGTGCATGAGATTTCCATACCTTATGGTTCAGGAATCCAATACGAAGCACGTTTACAGGTTGTGGAACCCCATCAGCCATCTGGAGGTCCCCGAGAGAATCTCCCATCAGAATAATGTTGTTACGATGTTTCAATTGGTTAAAGTACTCACTATTGTGAATGGAAGACTGGTTTTTGTTGAACATGTGAATTACTTCTCCTTTAAAACCAATAGTGTTGCCCTTAAAAATAAGAAAAAAAACACCCTACAATCCGTTAACGTACAAAACTCTCATTAAGAAATAGATTGGTGAAGACTGCAGAGACATCTACCAAGACAATTGTTTTATTTATCATAATATTAGTAATATATATTTGTTATTGCTATTATTGCAAAACTACACCATGGGCTACATGTGCAATGGGGAATCAAGCCCCAGATTTTAGTGCTGTAAGTCTGTAAACCTATCACTGACCCACCAGGAGCAGGATGGGGGAGTATATATGAGAGATGATGTTATACTAAGTTAAACAGTTATTAACATACATGAAATAATACTCTGTTAATGTATTATAAGTAATTATACTGAGCAAAATAATTTAATAAGAGATGAAAGTAATTAGTTAGTTGTTGTTTGAAGTTCAGCACAAAGTTACACAATGGGCTATCTGTTCTCTGCCCACCACGGGTATCGAAACCTGGCTTGTAGCATTGTACGTCCGCAGACATACCGCTGTGCTACTGGGGTGCAAGAGATGAAATAATAACATGTTAATGTATTATAAGTTTATTATAGTGAGCTGCCACAATATACTAAGATATGAAATAATAACATGTTAATGTATTATAAGTAATTATAGTGAGCTACAGAATATACTAAGATATGAAATAACAACATGTTAATGTATTATAAGTAACTATGTCTAAAGAATTTACTATGAGATGAAATAATAACATGTTAATGTATTATAAGTAATTATAGTGAGCTAAAGAATATACTAAGATATGAAATAACAACATGTTAATGTATTATAAGTAACTATGTCTAAAGAATTTACTATGAGATGAAGTAATAACATGTTAATGTATTATAAGTTTATTACAGTGAGCTACAGAATATACAA